TTCCCAGTCTTGAAATGGTGGTGACTAACTCTTCCTCTTTGCATGTTGCAGTTGCTGTGCTATTATCATCCCTATTTCCAGAGAGATCGTCTCCAGTGCCAAAGAAGATTCAAGCGGAGTCTTGGTGCTAGAAGGAGACCAGCTTCCTCCTTGCAGGCCTTCCAGTGGGGTTGGCAGGAGGGCCAGCAGAGCAGAAGCCTGCAGCCAGAGATGCAGTCAGGCGCTGCTGCACGGGCGGGCAGTCAGCTCCCTGTTGGCAGCTGCAATGCTGCTCCTGCTGCTGCTGCTGCTGCTGCACATCACAGCAGACGTCCAGCACCAAGCGGTCCTTTTCCACCAGGGCTGAGACCCGATAGCGGAGCTGGGGGTGATGGAGTTGGACGCCGCTACAACTTGCGCCCCAGGAAGCGCTGCCGATGGCAGCAGTAGTGTAGGAGATAGTGTAGAGTTGTAGTTTAGAAAATAAACCTTTAAAATGCTTCTCCCTTGTCCTGTCCTGTTTCTTCGGTCTGACTGAAGGCTACTCTTCCTATGCCCAAGAGGGGGGGTGCCTTCAGGGAGCCTTCCATGAGTTCCCCCCATCCGCGCCCCGTGGGTTTTGGCAAAGGTGCCAAAAGCGAAGCAGGCACTGTGCAAAGCAAGCCTGATGCACGGAGTGATGGGAGCACGGGGCGTGCAGGTGTGCAGCTGGAGCAGCGCAAAGTGCCTGGTCCCTCTGCCTGCCTGTCCTCTGGGGGTGGGTGGGTGAGGGCGTGGGTGGGTGGGTGCCCCGGTGGCGCAGGGACAGGAGGTGTGCCGTCCTCGCTGTGCACTTCCTTCTGGCCCGCGTGTACTTTGAGGAAGTATGGCAGCTTCAAGCAGTTCAGTTTCTAGGATGGCTTCTAGGATGTGGCTCCTGGGCCAATCAGCAGGCTCCTTGGGTTACGCTTGAGGTAGCCCTTATCTTTCCATTCTTTGTGCTCAACTACTTCTGCCCTTTTAGGAATAAAGCCAATTAGCCCTTTATTCACTGGTGTAACTGGTATGTGCCCCAGTACCAAAGTAAGAGTGGATGCAGGCTCCTTTGATGGCCCCCTCCAACTGGAGACAACCCACCTCATCAGAGGGAATGCTTTAGACAGCATACATGGCCTTGTGTTACATCGCTGCTACTTGTGGCTTGATTCACCTGCAGACCCGGTGATGAAGTGCACGTTGTGTGCGTTGGACTCACTTCCAATTGTGTCAGAGAAAGCGGAGCTGCAAAGGGCTGGTATTTGTCTGTGCTAACAGGAGGCTCACGTGCAGAACGTGTTGGAGTGCAATCATTTGTGCTATAGCAAATGCCTGCCTTCCTGGGACAAGGAGTTGGAGCGCAGCGCAGCTTAGTCTGTTTGTCACAGAATGCATGTGAGGAGGTTGTGTTGAAGTCTGCCACTGTATCTTTTGCTTACAGAGGAAGGACTGAAACACTTGCAGAGGAGCTTTAAAGAGATACTCTATTTGTCTTCAGTAGAGGAAAAAAGAGGTGTGAAGTGCGTGATCAGGCGCTGGTGGACTTGGAGCTTGAAAAGAATGCAAACGTTTTCATCAAGACATCAGGAGAAGGAGGCAAATGTTACCAAGGATTTCCCAAACTCTCAAAAGTGTTTTCTCTTTGCAGAGTGGGTGGTGGGGGGACGGTCGTGTAACGTGGGAGCTCTGCAAAGGGAACAAAAGATTGCCGCTCAGGAAACGCCCTCTCCTGTTGCCTGTGCTGCTGGTTTGATGGGGAAAAACAGGCTCATGCATTCCCTATTGCACTGATACATATTCCACTGCCAAGGGGTGCAGGGAAATACAGCACTTACAAGCACTTACTACATTGCTTGCTGTGCTTCCACGTGAGGAAACCTTTGACTCTCTACCTCTTCAAAGGGTTTATCACTCAATCAGTGCCTAGATATGAGAAGTCCTCAGAGGAGCTCTTCTTTCCTCTGATGATCTTTCTGTTGGCCACCTGCTCTTCATGATGTGCTATTGTAAAAATTGGGCAATTTAGAGGGAAGGGAAGGATCTTGGATTACAGGACGGTTGGAGAAATCAAAGAGAATTGTGTTCACCATGTGCTAATCACCATCTGGGCTTGCTCTGAACCACGGAGTGACCAGTACAAGACAAGACTGTGGTGTCTAAGCATGATTCCTCTTGAATTTTCCCTAAGAGGGGAACACAGGACAGGAGAAGTACGAATGAATCTCTACAGAATAAGGGATCGGAGGAATTCCTTCGTCTTTATCATATGTAAGCCATATTTCTCACATTTGCTTCCTATAGTCAGACACAGAAAACACCTGTTAGGCCATATATTGACATCTCTATGGCTGTACATGCATGTATGTCTGCCGACGTATATATATAAAACATACATATATAAAGCCAGTGAGGGCAATATTAAAGGAATACTCCTCGGGGAGGAAAATACAGGTATCTTTTTATGTGTTGGTTTGGGGAGCATAAATATCTGGGATCCTATTTCCTTCATTATCGTGAATCTGGCTGCCCCATTTTGCCAGCAAACGTTCTCTGCTCTGTGATGCGACTGTGACGCTGTGGAACGTCTCCATGGAGACGTTTGTGAAGGCCCCCCTGCCCGCAGCACGGGTGCCATTGCGCTTCCTGCTGCTGGTGGGAGGACAAGCCTTGTTGGCTGTGTGCTTCCTGCTGCTGGTGGGAGGACAAGCCTTGTTGGCTGTGCGCTTCCTGCTGCTGGTGGGAGGACAAGCCTTGTTGGCTGCGTGAGCGGTTGTGGACAGGAATTTCTGCCCAGGTGACCAATTCCGACTTGCAATGGAGACACCTTCCTCAGAAACATCGGGTGTCTCTGTTCCAAGCACCGAGGCGGCAGTCTCGGCATCTGCTGCCCGCCGACTCGGTGCTAAAAGAGCAGCTGTGCATGCTGCCCTTGGGCCTCTCCAAGAGGAGAAGGCTTCCCCATTTTCTCCCGGGGAAGTCAGTGCCAAAAGACAATGCCGCGGTCTTTCTGAGAAGTGCTGCGGCTATGACAGTGACATGACATCGTGCTCCTTTCTCAACACCCTCTGGAAAGTTGTTGAAAGTGTTGGCTTCCAGTCCATTCGGTGGGGCGATGAGGGAGACTTCATTGTGATTGAGGAGGCGTTCTTCAGAGCGGAAGTACTGGCCAGAGGAGGAACTCTCCAAGTCTTTGATGTTGGCAACATGAAAGATTTTGTCCGTCGCCTTCATCAGCATGGCTTCTACATCACGGACGCGGATTTGCCAACGTCTGCCCCATGTGCTCAGTTCCTAGCACAGGGAGCATCAATTTCCACTCCGAGCCAGGTACGTAGTCCCTCTAGCTGTGAGATGGCTCTCGGCACAGCGGCATTGGTGGCCAGCCAGTGCAAAGTGAGGTGGCTGACAGCTGGTGACACTTGGGTACTTGTGCTTCTGAGAACCCTCCATTACTCTGCGGCTGGCAAATGAGAGAAATGCAAGCAGGGGTGGTTGTTACAAGGGCTGCTCAGCACGTAGTGCCTCCTCGTTTATGTTGGCCCATGAAAGGTGGCCGCAGAGGGGCAGTGTGACAGAATGGCATGGGACGTGACTGTGCGTATGAAATGAAGGTGTGCAACTGAATTCTTTTGTGTGGAAACGGCCCCCGAGAGTCCGCTCCGACTGTCTCTTGAGATTCCAATTCCTATGTCTTGTATCTTTGTTTTCCCAGTCTTGAAATGGTGGTGACTAACTCTTCCTCTTTGCATGTT